TGTCACTGTGATATCCTTGCAATAGTTGTATTTATTAACACAAGTACCTTCTATGCTGTATCTTACAACTTCCCATTGTATTTTCATGCTAGTTGCCCCATGACACTCAACATACATCAGTTTGAAGGTTAGTTGCTGTGCAAAATAAGTTGGTTATTTGGACAGCCCCTGGAATATGCCTGCTGTGTAATTTACTATGCCATGAGCAAGTTGCACTGAAATTTTAGCTGCAATAGAAAGAATACTAAGTAGTAGGAGGAGAGAAATGAGAAAGTTACAACAATAAGGTTTTATGGCTTTGGGATAGGCTTGTTAATGGCTCAGTCTAGTGTTTCGTGTTTTGTTTTTTGAACTAAGCCATAGTGCTGAAAAGTAACTCACTTAAGATGCTTATAGTTGTAATGATGTTGTGAGGTTTTTGTAAAACAGATGAGGAATCTTTTTACGTACACCATTAGTTTTATCTCAGAAGTGCAGTGTTTTGGGGAAAAATCTTACCCACCAGATGTCACTGTCTTCACATACATAGTGAGTAGAGCGAGCACATATTGCACTTAGGAACTTAAGCATTTTCTTACCCTTGTTCTAAAAAGGAACAATTTAGAACATTACAATGGCCCCAAGAGCTAACATTTTTTAAATGTAAAGGCCTAAAGTTAGGCTTCTGAATTGATAAAAATGGTTTCTTTTCAAAGGTGTTGAGTCCCTGCACCTAAGTGGAATCTATGGGGTCTAACACCATGCTGGATTATTACTTACAGATTGAGTACTTTTAGGGACCAGAATTGAAAAACATTGGTCTGCTGTTACAAGTTTTTATATTTGTAGTGGGTTTTCTCCCTTGCATCTTCCTTGTCCAGTGGATCTTGCAATAAGGTCTTGATACTGTTTTTATGATGGAGCTTATTGGTAAACACTCTTTTTTCATAAGTTCTACTTTATGATCTCACTATAGGATTAAAATGGAAGACAAGATAGTGTGGCATGAACAATACTCTTGTTTAAATACGTTTATTTCTGATAAAGTTCCCTTGCTGCAACTTGATAAAGTTAGTTATTAGGAAAAACTTTTCTCTAGGAGGGTAGTATAGCACTGAAACAGGTTACCCAAAGAGGTTGTGGACTCTCCAACCTTGGAGGTTTTTAAATCCCAGCTTGACAAAGCCTTAGCTGGGATGTTCTAGTTAAGGATGATCCTGTTTTGAGCAGGAAGTTGGACTAGATGACCTCCTGAGGTCCCTCTCAACCCTCA